ATGGGGAGATCTATGACCCCCCCCGTAGGAGGCTGAATTAGACAGACAGCAAAACTTGCCAGATATTCCATTCCATATATCTATGTAAGCTCAGAGGAAGGTGCTTTCTCCAGCAGCAGTCCGGGATTTTTCGGGACTATTCGTAGCAAAGGAGAGAGCTGTGGGAGTTGCTGTGGGTGTGGGGAGGCAAGAGGGATTTTGTACATACCTGAACACATTTGTATATAATTGTATATATTTTCTTTTATCCTTAGTGTTTTAATTAAAGCTGTGTAGTTTAGTTTTCAATCCAGCCAAGTCTCTCTCTTTTTCCTCTCTCCTTCCCCACCTGGGTGGGAGGGGATCAAGAGCATTTTTGTTGATTCTTAGTCAAACGGTGACACTCCACTAGCTGGAAAACTTGCTGCTGCTTAAAAGAGAGCTCACTGCATGAAAAAAAAAATCAGTAGAAAGAAAATTGGCTTCATCCTGGCTCAAACCAGGACACTTACAATACACCTAAAAGTAAAAAAATCGTAAGTAGTGGGTTTTGACTAAAAAATGTCATTTAAATAAAACATTGCACAAAAATGCTCAAAGTGTGTGTCCCTTTGAAGACACTGATGATAATTTAAATTCTAACCTTGCCTCATAGCATTAGAAACTTCAGTTATTAAAAGGGTTTTTGCTGGTTTTAGAAAAAACATTTTCTGATAATTATCACTCAGCTGGAAAGTATTTCAGAGTATATGATCATAATGAGAGACTTTATATTTTCCATTAGTTTTAACCAGAACTTGGGCACAAATGATTGACACTGTTATTAATGGGAAAAAAAACACAAAAAGATTTTTCTGGATTCTCCGTAGCTGGCAGATACAAATTTGCACATTCAGGAAGTTTACTGTTTGCGTTATACAAATGTCCTGGTTTGAGCCAGGATGAAGCCACTTTTCCTTTTACTGATTTTTTTTTTCCTTCAGTAAGCTTTCTTTAAAGTAGCAGTAAATGTCCTGAGTCAAACCGTGACAACAAAGAGTTAGATCTATGTTTGGTTTGTCTATGTTAGTAGTGTACACCATAAAACCTACAGTATAGTACCATGAGGATGCAGTGGTCTTCAGTGCTTTTGACACCAATGGACAGGAACAACATATATTTGACTCCTGAATCCACTAGCATAGTGAACTTTGCCTTAGGTCAAATGACATTTTGATACCAAACAATGATGGTAGTCCATTCTGTCAGCTATGCCAATGCTACTTTTCTGGAATGTTGAGGAGCTGTATTGATATCTTGCAAAGCTCTACTGACCAAAACACATATAGCAGATAGTGATTTTCAACATCTGATAACATTAGACTTCCAAAGAAACAAGATGCTCTTTATTGACCCCAGTTCATACAATCATAGAAGGGTTTGAGTTGGAACAGACCTTAAAGATCATCTAGTTCCAACCCCCCTCCATGGGCAGGGACACCTCCTACTAGATCAGGTTGCTCAGGGCCTCATCTAACCTGGTTTTGAACGCTTCCAGGGAAGGGGCATCCACAACCTCCTTGGGCAACCTGTTCCGGTGCCTCACCACCCTCACACTAAATAATTTCCTCCTAATGTCTAACCTAAGTCTCCCCTCTTCCAGTTTTAATCCATTACCCCTTGTCCTCTCACTACAAGCCCTTGTAAAAAGTCCCTCCCCAGCTTTCCTGTAGGCCCCCTTCAAGTACTGGAAAGCCACTATAAGGTCTCCCCAGAGACCTTCTCAGGGCTGAACAGCCCCAACTGTCTCATCCTGTCTTTGTAGGAGAGGTGCTCCAGCCCTCAGATCATCTTTGTGGCCCTTCTCTGGACTTTCTCCATGAGCTCCATGTTCTTCTTATGTTGGGGGCTCCAGAATTGGGCACAGGACTCCAGGTGGGGTCTCACGAGAGCTGAGTAAAGGGAGAGAATCACCTCCCTTGATCTGCTGGCTACACTTCTTTTGATGCAGCCCAGGAATTGGTTGGTTTTCTAGGCTGCAAGCACATATTGCCAACCTTCAGATCCCAAATGCAAACCACTGAGTTATCTGGCTTTTGAAGTAATTCCCCTTCCCTCATTTCCTCTCCCCCCTACCAAAGTGTGCAATCCCTGCCCCCACCATACTGGAAAATACTAGACGACTTGAACAGAGGGCACCAGTTACAATAATTTTTAAATAGTGTCCTGGAAAGACATTAATATCTTCTAAGTTATTAGTATTTTCTAAATGTAGGAGATTGTATTGTAGCTTCCCATCTGGAACCTAGCCCCAAGAAATCAGACAAAAAAGGAACTGAAGGTGCTGAAAATTAGCTCTTGCGCTAATCAGTGCTGTAGCTCCAGAAATAGTTTTTTTCCTCCTATGTAGGTAATACATAGCATATTATTTCTATAATCATTTGATCCTTATGGCTATTATTTTATACAAAGACACATATTAAATGTTTAATTCACAAACAAATCATATGACTTACAGTTAAAGCATTTTTTTTTTAAGTTTATTTTTCCACAAGGAAGAACAATAGGAAAATTTAAATTGTTTTACAGTTTTCTTAAAACAGAGTCTGGAAAAACATATTCAGCACCAAAATAAAATAAAAATAAATAAATATCACAAGCAGCCATAGGATATAATCTATAAAGCAAACATTTAATATTGCACTTTGTTTCTCTAATGTTTGGATTTTACTTTTTTTTCCTAATTCATATCAAGAATCTATATTGAATATTGGGCTACAAATATGAACCAGTAACGTCTATGAAGAACTAACAAAAAAGTTTAAACATGAAGTCTTTATTTTGTAAGGTTTTAGAATTTTCTCTCTGATCACAGCCTGTGCTGCAATGTTAATTGGTCAATTCTGCCTCATAGTTTTCTATTATACTGGGATTATATTATACTTTAATGCTATGTATATCAGCAGTTGTTCCCCAGTCTACTAAAACAGCAAAAAAGAAAAAAAAGTAAAATTACCCAATGCCCTCTTATGCCAACAATCTTATAAACTTATATAACATTTTGTCTGGTTGGAGAGGATAGAAGAAAGGGACATTCACAAAATTGTCCAGCATAAGACATCACCCAATTGCCAAATCTTACTTAACAAAGTCCAAACCTTTGGACAGAATCATTTAAAATGTGGCTCTCATTTTAAGCCCCTTGTCATAATTTTTGATACATAAAATATCTGTCATATTCTCATAAAGGCCACTTATGGAAAAGCCCATTTTGTCATATTGATGAAGCCTCAAAACTAAGGCAGAACCTTATAAGAACAAGCACAATGCAGAAACACCAGCTGTCACCCTCCCCTTTCCCCTTTTGAGCTGTTTCATCGCACAAGGATATACACAATGGATTAGTTTTTAAGTAGCCAACATCAGACACTTCTCTTTGACAATAGGGTTTTTGAGTTGTTTGGATTTTTTTACATTATTTCTGAAAAGAGAGTTTGCCTTGACAAATCTCTAGCATAAAAGCACTGGTCAGATCTAATGGCTCTTCTTCTTTAGGGTACACTCAAGGGGTGAGTGCTTTTTCTATATAATTTCTCACATTCTAGATTAATATATGGTTAAAGTTGTTGGGTTGGGGTTTTTTTTGTTCTTGTTTTAAAGCTCTCCGGACTAACCCAGGAGATCATAATCAGAGCAATTATCAGCAAACTAATTTGAGTATGGCTCGTAACACTGATACTCTGGCCCAGTTTTATTATGGCTTTAGTCTTACTATTTTTACAGTATCATAAACACTGGAGAGAATACAAAGTGCACAAACCAAGCTGTTGCTTAGTTGCCATAGTTCAAAATTTCTTGCAGTCTGAAATATACTTTCTACTGGAGGCTCATTTTATATATTATATTTGGTGATTAGGTAACTATGTATTATTTTTAAAAAACAAACACAAACCAACCAACAAACCTTCTCCTTCCCATTCCTACTAGTTGAGATATCTGTCTGCCTATGACCCCTGAACAGCATATGACTATCCCCTTTTAAAGTTCTTTTCACACATTGCTGGTGTCTGCTGGTTCTGCTTTCACTTTGTGAGTTTCATGCATGCCTCTATTAAAAATCCTCCTCAAAGAACAAAATAAAAACATGAACACAAACCAAAAGAAATAACAGTGCAGCATAACAAAACAAATAGCATTCTAACAGTTTGGCAAGTTATGAGTTCACCTGAGATTAAGTGATTTTTAGGCAGTCTGTAACAAAATGTTGCTTTGCAATAATAGCAGAAAGGCAACAAATTTTTAAAAGAAAACAAGAAAATATACAATCTTGACAAAGTCTCTTGTTTCCTTCTGTTATCTCTTCCCTCACCCCCATCTGTTGCTTGTCTACTACAGCTGGCTGCAAAACACCACAAGGAGTGGCTTGAAGGCATGTGATATTTGTGAATAAAACCAAAATAGAATCCAAGCTGAAGAGGTGATACATGATCAGCCTACTAGGACAATTCTGAGTGTGTGCATATGCAGGTAAAGCCCAGGCTACATTACACAAAAAAAAAAAGTCAGTGCATTTATCAGTCAATTGGGTTTTTGTGTGTGTCAAAGCTTTTTGTTGTTTGTTGTGCAGATCACAAACAATTTAGTGGGGGTGGGGCAGCAACAGTCATAAATGATAAAAAGCTGTAGTGACATTGAACGCTATAACATAAGCAATAAGCATGTGCAAATTTTCAAATAATAAGAAGCAGCCATTCCTCTCTTACAACACGGCTTGAGTGTTTTGAAACATGTGACTGCACACTAGTAAGGCTGCTCCTAGTATCTGCCACTATTTGAGGGCAGGGGGCCCAAATTGCATGTGGAGCAATCCTATGATGTGCTGTAGGTGTCAAAGCACAACTACAGGTTGTTTTCATTTATTCACTATACAGGCAAGAGCGATACCATTTCCTTTAAAAGCAAGTCTCCACTATGACACCTTGATCTTCAACACAGCAGTTGTGATTCAAAACCCAAATCAAGTCAGCTTTTTATGGATTCCTTCAACGAGAGGGGCAAGATGGTCTCTCATCTGTGGGCTGATCTGGGTTTGGATCAATCTAACCAAAAGGAAAAAGAAAAAACAAACAAAACCACAACCAACCAACCAACCAAAAAACCCAAAACAACCAAAAAACCTCCACCAAAACAAACCAGCACATTTTAGAATCAACTGCTAGAAATAAAAATAAAAATTCACAAGTTTAAGACAACTATAAGGATAACATGGCATTCCCAGTCCAAAATTTATTGAAATAACTAAAAAACTTGTAGTTGGACAAAACTTTGGATAAAAATGAATATAAATATTAATATTAGATACAGTGGAAGACTTTAAACTACAGGTTGATGGCAATTTAAAGATAAACATGAATAACTAATATAAAACTTTAAAAAAATCTGCTTTACTAGCACAGAAGTCTTGAGTTACCCAATATATAAAAAAAGATTACTTGACACGCATCACTAGAAATGTAACTTAAGAAATATTTAATTGATTTGAGAGACATAGAGAAGTTTCTTGAAAAGGCGAAAAGTTATCAATACAAAATAATTTGATTTTTTTAAACTAGAAGTAATTAATCCTCAAATATCCTATGAGATATTTCAAAAGTTCATGTGTTCTAAACCTTACTTCTTCTTCCTTTCTATAGGAGAAAGTAGAGGTACAGCCTGCTAAAACTGGATGGTAAGAATAGTTTAAGTGTGCAGTGCATCTTTTAGACAACATTGCATCAGTTAACTTCATAGAGCCTTTTGCTTAGAAAAAAAATAACAACATGCTTCCTTCTAAATGTTAGAGTACCTACTACTATGGTAATTGTGGTAGCCCTACTGAATGCTTCTAGATCAAAATGAGAGGGGTCATCTCCAAGGGAGACCTTACAGTAGGCATCTATTACCAACCCCCAAATCAAGACAACGTGACCAATGAAGTGATACTCGGGTCGCTCAGGGAAGCTTCAGGTCAACAAGACATACTCCTTATGGGAGACTTTCACCACCTAGACATTTGCTGGAAGAACAACACTGCAGTTGACCTGTCATACATCAAGTTCCTGGAATGCGTAGAAGACTGCTTCCTCACACAAATGTTGGATGTGCCAACCAGGAATGGGGCACAGCTGGACTTAACTACTCAGTAACCAAGAAAACCTGCTCTGTAATATCTTGGTTAGTGACAGACTCAGCTGCAGTGACCACAATATTGTGGAGTTTGGGATACTGCTGAGCACAATGAAGGTTAATTCCAGGAAAAAGGTTTTAGATTTTTAAAAAGCAAAATTCAGCTTGCTTCAGGCTCAGTTGGAAGGGATCCCGTGGGAAGCTTCCGCAGAGAGTAAAGGGGCTGGCAAAACCAGTTCATCCCCTCTAAAGGCAACAGAAGTAGGCAGAGCAAGAGACCCCCTTGGCTTAACTGTGAGCTTCTGGGTCTGCTCAGAACCAAAAGGGAAATGTACCAGAGGTGGAAAAGTGGAACATTACTTGTTGCAAATTACAAGAACACTGACAGGGCATGCAGAGATGCAGTTAGGAAAGTAAAAGCTCAGCGTGAGCTGACATTGGCCAGAGATGTCAAAAACTTCAAGAAAGGGTTCTTCAGATATGTTAACCACAAGCAGAAACAGAGGAATAATATTGGCCCACTGTTAAACAGGAGAGGTGAATTAGTCACCAACAATATTGAAAAGGCAGAGGTCCTCAACACCTTCTTCACCTCTGTCTTTACCAGTGCTGTTGGGTCCCGGGCCATAAGAACAAAAGTCCAGGTTGATACAGACACTGACCCACCATCAGTGAAGGAAGAGTTGGCATGTCAACTATTACAGGAGCTTGACCCATACAAATTGATGGGCCTGGATGCCATCACCCTATGGTGTTCAGAGAGCTGGCTGATGTTGCAAAACTGCTCTCCATACTCTTTGAGAAGCTGTCGAGATTGGGAGACATTCCTGAGGACTGGAGGAAGACTAATGTCACCCCCATCTATAAGAAGGGTTCCAAGGAGGACCCAGGTAATTATAGACCCATTAGCCTCACTTCAGTCCCTGGAAAAGTCATGGAGCAAAACCTCCTGTGGACTGTTCACAAGTCCATCGAAGCACGTGATTGGGAAAAGCCAACGTGGATTTACCAGGGGCAAATCATGCTTGACAAACCTGATTGCCTTCTACAACAAAGTAACCTGCTCAGTTGATGAAGGGCAAGTGGTGGACATCGTCTATCTGGACTTTTCCAAGGCTTTTGATATGGTTCCCCACAGCCTCCTCCTGGAGAAACAGACTTGTTACAGCCTTGACAAGTGGTCTGTGCAGTGGGGGTGGGGAACTGGCTGACAGACTGTACCCAGAGGGTGATAGTAAATAGTTCCTCCTCAAACTCCCAACCGGTCACAAGTGAGGTCTCCCAGGGATCGATATTGGGCCCTATGCTGTTTAACATCTTCATAAGTGACCTGGATATTGGGATCAAGAGCACCCTGGTGAAGTTTGCTGACAATACAAAGATGAGTGGAAAGGTTGACACTCCAGAAGGGAGGGCCACCCTCCAGGATGACCTAGACAGGCTAGAGGAGTGGGCTAGCAGGAACCTTATGAAGGTCAACAGGGAGAAGTGTAAGATCTTACACCTGGAAAAATATAACCCAGGAGCACAGTTCAGACGAGAATCCACCTGGCTGGAGAGCAGCCCTGTGGAAAGGGACCTGGGGGTCCTGGTGGGAAACAGGCTCAACACGAGTGAACAGTGTGCTGCAGCAGCAAAGAAAGCCAACAGGATGCTGGGCTGCATCAATGAGGGAATCACCAGCAGAGATAAAGAAGTCATCATCTCTATTCAGTGCTTGTCAGACCACACTTGGAGTATTGCATTCAGTTTTGGTTCCCGCTCTACAAAAAGGATGAGGATAAGCTGGAGAGGGTTCAGAGAAGGGCCACAAGGATGATCAGAGGACTGGAGGACCTGCCATATGAGGAGAGGCTGAGAAAA